GGGTTTATTTCACATGGTCAAATGGCCGGCCACGTTCTGTCCAAGTATCTCGTTGGGGGTGTTTTGGATGATACTCTGACGAAGTATATCGAGGGATTGGCGGTGGGAAATGGCGCAGGAAGGGTGCCACTAGCTAACGAGGGGTATTGAGTATAGACAACTGTACCAAGGATTAATATACCGGTCGAATGTTGGATGTAGCTGTGGTTAGTGCTTATGATTAGATAGGTTCATGATGGTTGTAGTAGTTATAGGTGCTTCTGGAATAGGAAATGTTATGGAGGTATTTTAAGTAGTGTCCCAGGAATCTAACCCAAAAGGGGTAAACTGATAAGGCATCACAACTAGGCCTGATTTGGCAAGCGGCACTAACCCCTTTTTGCGCGGGCGAGCAATTGCTTCGCCGGCCTTGAGATTAATCTTCAGCTTCGACCTCCCCGCGGACTCTCCACTCCACTTGGGTCGGCTCCAGTTCCGGAGTAATATGCTGTTCCTACAGAACAATGGACTTTGTACGACTCCCCCCGTCCTTTCCCTTACCGCCGTCCCTCAGCTAATGCCTCCAGTGGTCTCGTCTCATCGGGGGCTCCCGCTCGCTGTCTACTAAAGGCTTCCGGGCGTCCACTCCCACGGAGCGATTGGCGTCCTTCAAGCGGACATGCAATACCCTTCAGGTGCGTCGGCCCTTCTTCTTCTTCCTCCTCCTAGTTCTCCCCTCGTGATCTTTCCCGCTCATCAAACCTAGCAAATATGGCGCTCCAATAACTCCTCCACCGGCGAGCAATCCGCAACCGTTCACGCGCGTAATTGCATTGATCGCCTCATCTCCGTGCTGAGCGACGAATCCCGCGGCCCAGCTCCGCATCCATGCCTCGCATATGCCTCGTCTTCGCAGATCTTCGTCACAGTCACTAAGCTCGCCTTGTCTTCCTACGACGATGGCATGCTCCGATCCGCGACCGTGTTCTTCAACACCCTCATCGATTCGGAGGTCGATGGTATTGTCGATAATCGACTCTTTGCCCGCGCACTGGTGGATTTAGTGCGACGTGCGGATAAACACTCGGAGGATGTTGAGGGACGACTCGTTGAGCTACTGTTCGGCGTGGCTAACAATATTCGTCTACAGCCGAATATTCTTCCTGCGTGGTTCGCCCCGCGGTCTGATGAACAGGAACGCGAACAGGGCAATGGTAATAACACTGGGGCTGAATTTGCGGGTGCAATGAGGAAGGATGATTTTCCGTTGTTCTACCTACTCGTAGAGTATGTGCATCATGCTGGTAGGGCAGGTGATTTTGCTCGTACGGGGTTGCTTTATTTGATCGAGACAGCTTCCAGGTCGAAAAATCTTGAGAGGTGGTTGATTGAGAGTGATCTTGCTACGCTTATGGCTACTGGATTGGGTGCGCTGTATAGTCAATTGGGCAGGTGAGTTCTATTATGGTTGTTCGTGGTGAGGATGAGGACTAGTGGCTGATATCTGTTGCAAAAGCTTGACCTTCCCGGAGACTACGGACGAGAATATCCCGCATATCATTGCGCTATCGGATCACGCGCAGCAAGACACTGCTCTTCCGCCAGTGCTGGGTATGTCGATGGATTCGTTCATGTCGTATCTGTTGTTCTGGCAGGATACTATTGATCATTGCAAGTCGGCGGAGGTAAACGGGACTTTGTTGGATCATTTCCAGATTCTCTTCCTGGAACAACTCTTGTAAGTTCGGTTGTATGGTTGCTGGAATGCCGCTTGCTCACTATAACGCATGCAGGTACCCGTCTTTACTTGAGTCTTCCGATGTGCAAGGGGGTTCAACGGCTGCTGTGCTTACCTACCTGTATCGCATTCTCGAGTCTGTGCACCAGGAGGACTTGGTCCACCGGATTCTTCATTTCCTGCTTGCGTCTCCCTCTGACTCGGAGCCTGCGGCAGTCGGAAAGAACATAGGTATGTCTGCCAGCCGACGCAAGTCGCTAGATGTCTTGGCCGCTTTCTCCGAAGAAGCTGCGCGGCCCTCGCCGTCGCTTTTCAACCTGAGAGATCTTGCCCTCCTTGGACTTCAGTCGACAAATAGACAGACTGTTCTGGCGACATTGCGGGTAATGAGCACCGTTCTGCAACGGCACCATACCTTTGCACGATCATTAATACGCACCGTTCCTGGCCAGCATGCCAAACAACGGACTGTCGGGGCGTTGAACGTCGAGCTGGAACAGCTTATGAACATGGCCACATCTACCGTTGATGACCCTACGTTGAATGAATCTTATGACAATTACCTTAAGGACGGGATGGCAATTCTCGAGGCCCGGCTGTGCATTCCCCCGGCCGAGGATTACCCGGAAGAGAGCCTGCCACTCGAGCTACGACACGACGACCCCATTGTGCGCGAGCTGCTCAATTGCCTGGAGAACTTTTTCACGAACAGTGTTATCGTGAACCTGGCACTGACCGAAGTCCTCGGAAGCATCGCCTCTTCGCACCTGATTGCTCTTGACGGCTGGCTTCTCGTGGACCCTTCCAAGTACATCTACAGCACATCAACGAACAAATCCTCAGACGAAACCCCTTCGACGACCCTTATTGAACAGATCCAACGAGCCTACGAAGAACCCTCCTGGTCCCACGCCGACACTCCAGCCCTCACTTCGGTACTTCAGAAGCTTGTGCAGAAGATCCAGAAATGGCGCAAGGATATGCCGGACTTTGACATCCTCGTCGCCGCGCGTCGCGATCTCCTGCACCAGGACGACGAGCCCGCCAAAGCGTCTGGGCGTTCTCAGCGCAACTCCGCACCTCCTACCCGCTCCTCCTCCCGACACCCTACATCCAACCTCGACTCGGACTATGGGTCCCCTCGCGGCCGGCCAAGTCGACCGCTCGAGTTCTCCAGCACCGCCACCTCCTCTCCCAGTCGCGACGCCATCGGCTCTCCCACCCGCGACCTCCCCTTCCGACCGCCCCGCGATGTCTCCACGGCGCGCAGATCCGCCGCTGAAGAACTCCGCCAGCGACTGGAACAACCATTCCCAGTGGATGATGCGCCTCACGATGCCAACAACAATACCACTGCTGCGGAAGCAATTGACGAAGCAAACGACGACGCGGGCGACACTGCGGTCGTCGACGAAGAACCCCGCATTGCGACTCTGGGGCATGTCCTGACCAACGTAGTCATTCTCTATGAGTTCTTGTTAGAAACGTCGGCTGTTGTGCAGGCGCGGGGAACATTGTTTGGAGAGGCGGGATACCCGGGAATAGATGGTCCTGTAGATACTGCCACGGTTGAGGCATAGTCAATTACTGTATGTATTGATAGGGGTGTTTAGTAAAGTCGTGGGCGGGTCCTGCGATTATGGGTGACGGACTGATTGTATGGATGGAATATATATACATTATTATATCTTGTTTTATTTCTGGTAATCTATCGTGTCTGAATCTAATACAGACTGATGTAGTTATCACAGGGTACGTCGTTAGCTACTAATGGCTGCCTTAAGTGCCTGGGAAAGTTTGGTTCATTAGGCAGTCTAATACCTCACTGTACTAAGTACTACCAGTCGACATTGATGATGACAGGTTATGAACATTCTTGCCAAATAGAAGTCAACCGTAGAAGTGATCGTCGCAACAGATCTTCTTTACCACTCTGTGGAGCACTCTTAAAGTTCTCTTGTCAGGGCAGTAAGTAGTTACACCCGTTGCGGTACAGTTGCTGTATAGTGATAGTTCAGTTCTGAACTATATATATAACATCAGTAATCGACTCATGGATACTACTGTAAACTAATTATATATATATATATAACATAATAATAATCATATAAACACTAACTTGACCCCAAATAGTACTTAACTATTAGGCTTGTTTTTCTGGAGCTACTAACAGTAGTAAGGTGATAGTATGGGGGGGGGGGAACCGAAATATATACTACTGACACAACTATCTACTACGTCATTAGCTACAGTTGTTATCACCGATTTGCCAGTGGCCAGCCTATCACGATAACTACACAATCAGACTACTACTACTTCTTACTTCCTATTCGAGTCCTTCCTTATAGAGATATGACAGAGTCAGATTGGACTGGATCGTTTATGGAAACACGTGACTGACCGAGATAAAAAGACGATCCTAATACGTGGTGTGTCATGTGACTTCAGTTGGCTCGTATACTTATGCTGTACCAGTACTAGTAAGAAGGGATGTCACTCAGTTATGCCTAGAATTTGTTCTGTATTGATGATATATGGATGGACATATGTCCAGGGAAAATTATTTAATATTGCTACACTCCAACTGAGCCGGATCATTTGGTGTTTACTTCATCGCTCGTATTTACGCGTCTTGTTACGCGCAGATCGTATATTCGGCTGAGTATACTTAAGTAAATAGTATAGGTACACGCGCAGCCAAGTCCATGCGACGCAAGCAAGGTAAGTTGCTTCCCCCCTTGCCTTCCTGAGACTCCCTTTTAGTCATTATCGATACATACACATACAGTACAGACTGCTTGTCACTCCCTCGCGTAGTGATAACAAGCAAGAGAGTAAGAAAGCAAGCAAGAAAATTAAAGAAATCAGATACCCAATGGGATGGTAGAAGGTAAAGAATCGAGAAAATAAGCAAATAGTAGTATTCACATCACGCGATGCAAGCCCAACCAACCATCCAACCAACCTGATCATGCCCCCGTTACCACAAACGCCATATATAGATAGAGAGAGAAACGGTGGTAGCAGAAGTAGTAGCAAGAGTATGATAGTAAGTCAAGTCAAGTATGCGCCCGCTCTTATCCACCCAGTCTAAAGGATAATAGTAAAAAAGAAAAAAGAAGGAGAACCATCAATATCGATATCGAATCGAATCGAATGGCTGCCCATCGCGCAAGTAAATAGAAAGTCCCTCAAACCACATAATGCATGCCAGCTGACATTCAAGCCAGTTCGTTTCAAATAAGACGCGCGAATTGAGAACAAGAATCGTAGTGGGCATTAATTAATCACTTTCTTCTTTCGGACGACGTCCACCGCGCTTTCGTTTCGGTTGTTGTTCATTCTGATCACTGTTATCGTCGTCGTGTTTGCGACTGGCCGGTTGATCAGGAACCTTGGCGATGATGTCAGCGAGGAAGTCGAGCACTTCGTCTTTCACGACGGCTTGTTTGAGATGCGAGGCTGTGACGCGTTTCGAGTTGCGGTCTTTGGCTTCGCGGGCGGCTTTGGTGACGAGGGAGATCATGAAGAGTTCGAGTGCTTTGGCTATAATTTGATTTTGATTAGCGGTGATCTTCTTTGAACATGCGGCAATTATTGCTTCGGAGATGAGGGTGGCAACTTACACACTGCGATGGGAGTGACTTGAGCGACTTTACCGACATCTTCATCGGCTTGCATAATGCGCTTTATGCGCGCTACAGGAAACTTGGTCTTCACTTCCACATTGACGGGCACAGGAGCGGGCTTCGGAGGCTCTTCCTCTTCAATTACAGCGACGGGCTCCTCTTGTGGTTCCGGTTGCGGTTGAGGTGGAGGTGAAGGTACATATTCCTCTTCTTCTTCGACAGGGTCGACGTACTTGGAGACGGGCGGGTGAGGCGCGACCTCGGCCGCTTGGGCGATACGCGACGAGCGACGAGCCATGTCCGGATCGGGAGGGAAGTATGAGGAAGATTGCTGGGGAACCCTGGTCTGCGGGACCGGGTGGTGAGGAAGCGATGGTTGTTGTGGTAGAGGTGGTGGTTGATATTGCGGGGTGAAGAAAGGTGAGGCGTCGTAGGAAGCGCGATGGACGAAAGGATTCCCAAATTGGTAAACGGGGGAGTGGTGAGGAAGTTGATAGTGCGTGTTGTGGTTGAGGTTGTGGTTGTGGAAGGTAGGTGAGAGGGGAACTGACTGGAAGGTGGAAAAATCAGGGGATCGTGGACGATAGGATTGGTCTTGGTCTGTCATTGCTGTGGGGATTTTTTTTTTCTTGTTTTTTTCTTTCTTTTTTTCTTTTTTCAATTTATAATATTTTTCTCTTTCTTTTTTTTTTTTTTCTTAAAGCAGAGATCCAGGCGTTATGGGCGATGCGCGTGCGCGCCTAACAGGAAAACGGCCTAGTATGGAATAAATATGGGGAACGTCTTTTTCGTACCTTGGCCGCTAAAGTTGGAGTGACAACAACAAATTGGGGAATGGAGGGATTTAAATCTACCAGGCTGATACCGTGGCCGGCATAACACACCACTGGAATACAGGATCTGGAGGAATTTCTGCCCGGGATAGAAAATGTAAACGATTTTCAATCCCACAAACACTTTCCGCGATGAATAAGATACTCGTGGTCGTGAAACCGATTTGTTTGGGGATGTTTTCCTTGTTTGTGCCGATCGCGCGGCGCGGGTGGTCCGAGCTTCTTAAGAACGAATTTGGTGTAATTTTTGAATAGGTTCTTTTTGGTCGAGAGCAAAAAGTGCGTGTACGAAAGGCGTGGCGTGGGTGGCCCCAGCATCCAGAGAGGAGACGAAGAGGACCGGCGCCCTTTCTTCCGGGGGAGCAGCAGCAGCGGCCCTTTTAACCCTGGCCTGCCTGTTCCACTGCTCGCGCTAAAAATACTGTTCCTCAGGCTCCCTCTCCGATTTTTCTTTTTTCTTTTTTCTTTTCTTTTCTTTTTTTTTTTTTTCCATTTTACTTTTTCTGGGTCGGACGGAAACTGCTTGACTCTAACCTGACGGGTGGTACCTTCCAGTCACTACATCCTTCCTTCCTCTACCACATTCCCCCCAATCCTTCTCTTTAATTAACCATCCTCCATCATTATGATCGCTACGCCATCTTCCTTCTCTTCGTTTCTTGTTATTCGGCATCATCCGTCATGAAACCCCAGCTTTTCTAAATGACTGATCCCAGATTATGGCATCTTCCGCCATTTCATCCTGACTCTCATGTCCAACACTCCGGTGACGCGCTGCTGCCTCATCGTGAGGCCGTGGATGAGTCTCACTACTCATGTTTAGGGGTGTCAATTCAGCTGCGAACGAACCACTCCTCTCGTCGCCACCCCGCCCGGAGGCACTGGTTGAATGGTTCGTTTCCTGATTGGCCACCCTCTGCTTTTGGCTTTTGCCGCGCGTGATTCCACCCGTCGAGTCTGCGTCAATGATGCAAAGCCACAGATCGTATACTACTGCTTCTCCCATGTATCATTTGTTGCTCAGTCGGGATGTTGGTGTCCCCCTGACCCTGTAGGTAGTAGCTCTCTCATGCGGGAGCTAGTGACTATGTCTCTTATAGTCATGTCATCACCTATCTTGTGTTCCTGTTCCATGTCTTTGTTCCTTTCCCCTTTCATCATATTATCTATCCCTCTGGTTGATATCCCCCCACCAAAACGCGTGATGATGATAAACAGAGCTCCAGAGATCGGGGGAGAAGGACGATTTGGCGCGCAGAAACCCACCAAAGGTATCGCCGCCGTCGGATCTCTCTGTGCTATTGCTATCTGATGGCAGTACCCCTTCGGTGAGGGAGTAAATAACTTGATCTAATCTGACAGCGCGTCGCTGGTTTCCCTTGGGCGGTACTTTGCGTCCATTTGATTTGCCCGTCGGGGATGAGAGGCAGATCTGCCTCTCTCTGACAGTTACCTAGTAGGTAATTTAGAGATAGAGCTAGGGAACGCATTCTTTCCCAGAGTTGGTCTAGCGCTGGCCCTTCCGTAACCCAGGTTGGAATCTGGAATCCTATCCTACAATGTAGTCGCAAGGTAACTCGTCTGCCTTGAGTTCGTGGCGCGCAGCAGGGATGGATGATGGATGACAACCAGGGGTCCAGTTCTGCAGTTGGCGGTGTGCCGTGCCGCCTTGAATTTCCCTATGACTGGTCCCAAACCTTAGTTATTTAGTGGTCTGCAAATGACAAAGTCTTGTTTCAAACCGCACGTTCTGGACGATGATGAGGCTGGACTTCCGTAGTTGATATGGTGAGCAAGTTGTTCCGTAGAGAGGATCTCATCCACATCCCCAATCCTTCTAAGCGCCAGGAGCATCCACCAACAACTTCAGCGTAACGGAGCGGACAACCAAGCAGCAAAACCAGATGATCGATGTCACCTTCCAGTCAGGAAACAACCGAACGCAGGCGCTGGAGAAGAAGAGCAGAAGGGCGGGGCGATGCGCCGGAAAGCCTCGGACAGGCGGTTGTTCCGCTCCGGCCCGCCTCCGGCCTCCAATTTTGGTCAAACAGGCACAGATTGTCCATCGCGACATTCACCCCGATTGTCGATTCACGGGCTTTGCATTTCCGAGCGACGCCAGCAGGAATGGCTGCCACTTCCTATTGATGGCGAATTAGATCGCGTTCTTTGTCTTTGCCAGTGTGGCTGCCTACTATTCCCTTTTCTGCACATTGACACCTTTCTTCTGGACTTTCCTTTCCCTCCGGTCTAGCCTCGTCATCCCCGATGGCTGTCGCAGATCAGCCTTCGGGCTTGATGGACATCGCCAGGTAGGTCATATTCCAGCCTTGCGCTCTTCGGTCATACATGTCTTTGGCCTGAGAACTAATTCGCCTTTCAATACAGCTCTCTCACCCAAGATGAGATCCCGTTCAAGCTGCGATGCGCCATGTGCAATAAGCTTGCCGTGAACGCCTTCCGCTTACCCTGCTGCGACCAAGCGATCTGCGAACATTGTACGCATCCGTTGACGACTCCGTGTTATACTTCCGTTCCATTCTAATCAATGTCCCGATAGGCCAGGCTTCTCTCCCGGAGACTTGCCCCGTATGCGCACATACTCCCATCTCGCCCGATCTATGCAAGCCGAACAAAGCGCTCCGCACCACATTGAAGGCCTTTCTGCGTACAGAAGAGAAGAAGCGTGAGAAGGAGCGGCAGTCAGCAACCCCTGCGACGCCCGCAACCACCAATGGTGCAACAACCGCGGACGGCACTCCTGCTCAACTGGAGACACCTGCGGTGCCGAGCGCCGCCGAAGTTCCAGCCCCTGAAGAAATCCCTGCACCTAATGAATCTGTCGATGCTCCGCCGGTAGAAACAGCCCACCCCGCGGAAGCCGGAGACCTGAATGTGCAGAACACACCAGGTGTGGGCGACGAAGCACCTACAGAGGCCCAGGCCCAAGTATGTCACCCAACATCAATCGCCTACATCTAGGCTAATCTTCCACTCGCGCAGGATGACCAGTCTACAAGTGTCCCTGCTGACACGCAGAACGACGCTGGGGATGCGGAACACGACGGATCTGGTGAAGGCAACGAAGCCGATGAAGCCAAGACCGACCAAGTCAACGATGACGAAGCGTCCCAAGGTCCGGCGGGGAGCATGCTCCCAAATGGCATGGGCTTCGGCATGGGTGCCGGGATGTTCCCTAATATGGCTTGGAACAACAACAGTGGTTTCAATCCTATGGCCCAATTTATGAACAATGGAATGTTCAACTTTCCTAACGCTATGGGTGAGTTTCCGCTCGTCATCTCTTGCCCCGAGGCGACATTGGATTGATGAACTGACGTGCGCGCTAGGAATGCCTGGCATGGCGATGGACCCGATGGCCGCGAATCAGGGTATGTTTGGAGGCTACGGGATGAACATGAATGGCATGAACATGGGAATGAGTTTCGACGCGGGTCAGGGGATGTATGGGGGATGGGACGGCTCACAGAACAATATGTGGAATGGAGGCCAAGATAAATTCAATCCAAATGCTTTCGCAAATGGTATGGGTCCGCAGTTTGGGGGCCCCTCTGGATTTGGCGGTTATAATATGTCTCAACCCAACGGAGTTCATGCTCAAATGCAGCCGCAGCAGTTTCCTAGCCAAGATTATCCAAATGGCTCCTATGCCGGTCATGGCAGAGGCGCGTTTCGTGGCCGTGGCCGCGGAGGATTTGCCGGCGGTCGCGGTGGTTTTGGAGGGCATATGCAACCCAATCATCCTGCTAATGCTAACTATCCAGACTTCCCAAACCATAATCCCCTTAGTGATGGTCAAGATGGCGTATCTGGGGACATGTCCGGGGAGGTCAGTACTGAAGCCAATAAGGAAGGTGCCGGCGAGAATGCCCTAAGTGGCGATGTGACTTCTGCTCAAGATGCTTCGGCGGGAGATGCTGCCGCTGCTGCCGAAAACATGGGTGAGAACGGGGAATCTGATCCCAACATCAATAGAGACTTCACACAAGAGCTTTCAGGTCAGGAAGAAAATCAGCTGCGTGGGATACCGACAATTGATAGTCTAGACCAAGTCCACGCCGCACAAGGCATGTCGGGTGGCCCTATGGGACCTGGCTTTGGCAGAGGTGGCTATATGCGCGGTCCCTTCCCAGGCGCACGTCCTGGGGGCTTTCACGGTCCTCCGTTTATGACAGGCTCTAATATGTACCCCGAGCCTCGTGGACAGGGTGTTGAAGGTGCACCGGCAGCTCCCCGAGCCATGCGAGAAGGCCTTCCCAACACCAGCATTCTCCGGCAGCGGAACTTCCATGGACGTTCCTCGGCGACTCCCATGAGGCCCGAAGCCTCACAAAGGTATGAATAATGTTCCACATGCAACCAATTGCAAGCCCGACACAATATTGATGTTTCCTTCTCAGTGTAACCCCAACCCCAGGACAAGAGGACCAGCGCGCACAGTCCGTTCCAAGATCGAAGTCGAGAGCTAGATCGGCATCAAGATCCAGGTCCCGATCTCCTCCATCTCGTGCCGATAGTCGCCGCCGGTATCGTGAACGTTCTCCGAGTGTCAACCGTGGCACTGAAGAATCCGAGCGTAGACGAGATCGGCCAAGGAGGCCTCGTCGGGAGGACAAGTACGAAGAGCCATCCACTGCAGAAGATGGTCCTCGTATCCGCTCCCCGTCTCTAGATTCCAGAAGGTCCACTCACCGTCGTGACAGAGAGCGGGATAGACGCAGCGGTCGCCGGTCGCATCGTTCGCATCGTCACC